CTGCTTATTACAGCGTTTCACGTCCTGCTGAACATAATTTTCTACTTCAAATTTAGCTGACAGTTGCCCTAAAAACACAAATGTGCTCACAACAATACTGAAGCAAACTAAGCTTGAAGAAAGGAACCAGAACAAGGTGCTAGATCTCCTTCTAGGAGTTTTCCTAAAGAGATTTAGCTCACCACAGTTGGACATCTGCTCCCAGAGCATCCTGCTGTATAACTGTGCTGAGAGGACTCCAACAAAGTAGGAATGATGAGGAGGACTCTATTGATATCAGAAAGTTAATTATTTCTTATACTATATTATTTTATACATTTAAAACTGAATTTGCTAAGCACACAACAGTACTCATTTTGTGACTGTCTACTGACAGTCTGCACACACACAATTGGCCCTGATAGGCCAAGGAAACAAAACACAATGACTTTGGGTAAACAATCTCCATATTGCATTTTATTTTTGCACAAACACAGGCACAGCAAATGATAAGAATTGTTTTTCTTTTCTCTGAGGTTCAGAGAATGTGAATTTCAGAAATATTCTTGGGAAGATGTGCCTTGCTTTTCTCTGTGAAGAGAAATGTGAGGCTACACTGCTATCACTTCACACCCAAGTGCTCTTGACACTCCACCCTGCCAGTACCTCTTGTCTGCTGCCTGTGGCTGGGACCAGTGTGGAACCTTGGGCTCCATTCCCCTCGCTGTAGGAGATGAAAGCACAGGCCAGATGTCCAGCCAGAGAGGTAGAGCTGGACATGAGCTGGTTCCTGGTGACTCATAAGCCACTAAATTCCCTGAAAGCAATGTGTGATAGTGGACCAGCTCTGTTTAACAGTTCCAGAACACCATTTTCCTGTCCATGATTGTTTTCCAGACATCTTACTTCATCTGAATATGGGTGCATTTGTACTTTCCCTCCCAGGGGTACCACAGGTCCATCAGCAACTTCTCCCTTTTCCTTTAGTTCCTAAATCAAGAATTAATAGGAGGGATTTGTTGGCACCATTTTAGGTGCGCTGCCAGCACATCTGAAATGGCCTGGTTCTATTCTCTAAAAACCACTGGCAGGTGACAGGTCCTGCAGAAAATGATGCACATGGGAGGGCTGAGCGAGGCGAGAGAGACGCTGCAGTTGATAAGCTGCAATCAGTGTTTGCTCCCAGCACTGCCAGCACCCAAACAGGCAGCTGCAATGTGGTGTGCTCCTGGTGCCTGACCTTCTCCTGAGGCTGCTGTGCCTCTGCCAGCCTGAGAGCTGCCCACCCCACAGACCAGACACTGAGAGGGGGCAAGGGAAATGCAGGGAAAGGCAGGAGGGCAAATAAATACCTGGATCACTTTTTTTCTTGATTTTATACATAGTCCAGGGAAAAGGACCTAGCAGGGGGCAAATGATTTCTGAGCACTGCTGTGCTAACATGACAGCTTTATGGGGAGGCAGTTCTGGGTCAATTCCTCCTACCTTTGGTTCAAGAACTGTTATGCAGGGGAAAGAAAGACATTTCCAGGGTAAAATTGTGGTAGGGTGCCAGATAGCACACCTGAAACCTTCCTTTGCCCTGTGACTGTGTGGTGTGGTTATATACCTTAAAATATGGATGATTTTCTAAAAAGTAAGGGCAGAAAAGAAAGGCAGAATGGATCCTGTGCAGGTTGCTGCTCTCTGCAGGTGGTGCCATCCCAGTCTCACTGCCAGCCCCATGGCACGGGGGGAGCTGGGGCTCTGTACTGCAAAACCTGTGCTCACACAGCTGTAGCATTTCTCCTCCATCATCTGTGCTATTTTCCCTCCTTCCTTTCCCCCCTTACAGCAGGGGAAGCTTGCTTTCTCTCTCCCTCCCATCCTCTGTCCACTTGTCCCCTCATTCCTCAGAGCTCTCTGGCACAGGCCTTTTGTGGCCTGGGGAGGAGAGAGATGGGAGCAGGGGAGGGCAGATCACCTGAGTGGAACCAGGAACCAGCAGAGCTCAACCTCAGAAACACCAGTTAGTGGGTCAGGATGCTGCCCCAGGGTGGACAGGACTGAGGAAGTTGGGTACAGGTGGAGCCAGTCTGTGTTCCTGGCTTTCCTTGGCTGCTCTGGTAGAGCACTACAGCCAAGCCGAAGGAAATTCAGCAGCTGATTTTACCAACAGGATGAAATAAACCTCTCTTTTCACAGGCAGAATCCAGCCCTGAAGGTTCATGAAGAATGTCCCCTGAACTGGCATCTGATACTGCTCCCTGCATTGGATCCTGTTAGCAGGGAAACAAGCGAGGCCCCTCTGACCTCCCAGTGTTCAGGACAAACCACAAATAACCCCTGAAGGCAGGAGGAGGGACAGGACAGAATGTGGCAGAGGGGTATAAATCATGGCTGTGATCCCAGACAGAAAGCAGGTGGGGTCCTGAGCCTGCTCATCCAGTCAGACAGGTACACGTGCAGACACTGGGCTGCGGACGGTGACACCACAGCAGCAGGTGACACCACAGCAGCAGGTGAGCTCAGCCCGCCACATGGGAAGCAGAAGGCCCCCCTGCACCTCCTGCAGAGCTGGAGGAGACCCACGTCCCCACTTCTTCCCTCTGCCCTTACACCCTGCAGCCATGGGCTGCTATGGCTGCCACGCTGCCCGGGCAGTCACACGGATTAAATACACTTTTAGACATGGAAGCTGTTATTTCTCTGAAATTAAACAGCTCCCCACACTCTTATTAACCTGTGCCCTACTTCAGAAATAAATCTAATTTGGAATTTCATACTTAGCTGGTGCTGATGTTGGTTTGTCCCTGTGTCTTCTCTGATTTGGCTGGGTACATTTAGCAGCACCATACGTGGCAAAGTCCTATTTATTGTGGCTTGTGAGCATTATTCCTCACAACAGAGTAAGGAATTGGGGTGGTTGGAGCTTTTTGTTTCACGGGGGCAGAGAAAAGTTAAAGCTCAAATGTTTAAAATGTCCCTGTGAAACCACTTTTCCTGTATTGAGCAGAGAATGAATTGCTGTCTGCTAAATGAAGACAGCATTTGTCATCTGGGGTATTCCTGCACATCTGGTCACCTTCCATGGAGTGCCTAAAGAGAACTACTGTACCAGAGAGGAGAGCACATTTCAAAGGACTTGCTGGATTTCTGATGGCAAACATCAAACAAAACAGGCATTGTTTCACAGATACACAAAGTAATGGAGAAAGGGAAGTGGAAACTTAGCAATGACCCCCACAGAAGCAACAGAACATACAGCAAGTTATGTGGTAGATTCAGCTGCAGATTGCATTACCCAGCCAGCAGAGCAGAGAGAGAGGAAACCCAAACCCTGTGCAAGCAGCGCTCGGTGTTTCCTATTGCGGCCACCACACTCAGCTGACTTCGTGTAAGGAACTGAACCTAACCAAAACCTCGAAGATGTGTGCAGCGTGAGTGGCTTCTCTTCATCTCATTGTGGGGAGAAAAAGGGGCCAGAGCACAATTTCAGTTCCTCTGGGGCTTCAGCTCTGGTCTGATGCTGTCCAAGTGAAAGACACTCATTCCTGTGGGTTATTGCAGTAGTCCCTGGGCATGGAGCACATTTAACACCTAGATGTCTGCAATAACCTCCCTGCTTGTAGCCCAAGTCCTGCACACACTCCCCGCACAGGTGTGTCAGTGATCTCACAGTCCATGTGCAGGTTGTCCCTCCTGTCCTTTGAGCTGGTTGGAAGATAAACTTTGGTCGTGTATTATACTGTGCCCTTTGTAATGAAATAATGTCGGGTAATGTGTATTAGTGTGGGATTTAAATTCCCGAGCTGATTACAAGGAGCTGTTGTAAGATTTAGCAGTGCCCTGTGTGCGAGTCTGGAATGATGTGTACTGTTCTGTGCTTGTGCTCTCTCTGGTGCTGTTGAAAAGGCCAGGGCTTTGCTAGGAACAAACCTGAGAACATCAACAACTGAAGTGTCAGCAATACAATTCGATTCGGCAAGACTGTTAAAAGTGCTTGACCAGAAACTAGTTTCCCATACTGTGAAATCTTCCAGCTTTTACAGATTGCTTGCTCGGAGATCCCAGGCGTGTGGCAGTCTCTCCATGCCCACTCCCCAGCAGTCACTAGAGCGTAGAAATATTTACTGTGCCTAAAGAATGTAGTGAAACGTGATTAATGCTTGTAAAGAAGTTTTGATAATAGATGCAACGGCAGATTTTTTTGATAAAAGATGCAAAAAGGGACAGTGACTTATAAATTCAGGTGAAGAACACAGGCCTTAGTGGAGCTAAAGATGCCCTGTGCTGCTCCAGATGCGCTTCCCACGTTCAAAGTGGGAAAGCCTCAGACTGCAGAGCCTCCCTCCATGGCTGCCCGCGGAGGGGAGCGGCTGGAGGGGCTCCGGAGCGGGCTCTCCCTTTCCTGGCAGCCTCCCCGCAGCCGCAGGCCTGCCCGCATTGCCAGCAGCCTTGTTCCGCACGCTGTGCCCGCCGGGCCGCCTCCCCCGGCCCCCGCAGCCCCGGCACAGGGCGGCCCGGCTGAGGCACCGGCAGCCCGCAAAGGGAACCGGGCCCGCAAAGGGAACCGTCGGGAGAGAGAACGCCCTGCCGGGATGGACCCAGGGCTGCCGGCAGGGATGGAGCAGGGGACGAGAGGAGGGATGGGAGGAGGGACTGGGGCAGCGATGGAGCCCGGGCTGGAGCCGGGTACGGAGGCCGGGGATGGAGCCGGGGATGGAGCCGGGAATGGACCCGGCGATGGAGCCCGGGAATGGAGGCCGGCATGTAGCCGGGGATGGAGCCGGGGCGCGGCCCGGCCCGGCCCAGCCCAGCCCGGCCCAGCCCAGCCCAGCCCAGCCCAGCCCAGCCCGGCCCCATCCCGGCCCCGCCCCGCGCGCCGAGACCCCGCCCCCGCCCCGCCCGCGCGCTGACTCGCCCGAGCTGCCACGTCTGCCCGCTGACGTCACCCCCGGCCGGTGCCTCCCGGCCAATCAGCGACGTCGGCCGCCGCTCCGAGCCGACGGGGCCGAGGGAAGAAAGGCCGGCTATCGCGCATGCGCTGCCGCCGCCGCGGTGGCCGCCGGGAGAGCAAGTCCGCAGGAGGGGGCGCGGCCGGGAGGAGGCGGCGGCGCGGACTCGGTTTCCCGTCGCGCCCCTCGGCCGCCCCCCGGCCATGTAAGCGCTGCTCGGCGAGCGGCCGCCCCGTTTCCTGGTCGGGCTCCGGCGGCCATTTTGGGCTGAGGCGCAGCGCGGAGGCCGCGGAGCGGGCGCGGGCGGACGGGCCGAGCCGAGCGCCGGGCGATCGCGGCTCCCTCGGACCAGCGCACCGCGGAGCGCCTGCCTCGGCGGCGGGAGGTGCCGCCGCACCGCCCCCTCACAGCGCGCTCGCCGTCCCTCGGGCCGCGGGCCCCACGGACATGTCCAGCATGAACCCCGAATAGTGAGTGCGGGACGGGGCGGCCCCGGGGCCGCGCTGGGGGCGCCGCGGGGCGCGGGGGGACCGCGCTGGGCCCGCGAGTCCGAGGACCCGCGCCCCCCCTCCCCCCGGTGCCCGCGGAGCCGCGCTCGGGCCCGAGCGGCGGCGGGGGAGGAGGAGGAGGAGGAGGGTGGGGGGCGGGAGGCAGCGCGGCCGCCCGGGGGTGGGTCCTTCGGGGCCGGGGGGGAACGGGGGCCCTGCGGGGAACCGGCATCCGCCGCCCCGGCACCGCCGTGGGGCGCAGCCGCGGCGATTTTCCCGAAGCTCGGGAAGGCACGGCGAGGCCTGGACTCCAACAAGTGACCGGGGGACACCGGCGCCCTGTGAAAGCCGATCCCCCGGCCGGCGGCGGCTCCGTAGCCAGGGGTCCACCCTTCGCTTTAGCTGCAAGTCATGTGTGTGTCACATGGCTCTTGCAAAACACTTCTTGCCTATGTAGATTTTGCAACGCTGTGACTCGATAATAGAACGCTCTTGGGGCTGTTTCCAGCTGAAATAGCGCTTGCTGAGAAAGCCTGGTGATGACACGAGCGGTTTTTGGGGGGGTTTGCGTGAGTGTGGCCTTTTCCTTTAGCTGGCCTGCTCGGGAGTTGGGCTGTCTGAGCTCTGTTCCCAGGGGTTGGCCCTGTTCTGGAAACTCGGGGAGCTGTGTCCTGGCCACCAGGCTGTCGGGAACAATAAACTTTATTTTGTTCCAGATTTTCTTGTGTGAGTTAGAGGAAGGGCTTAAGCTTAATTTAGAAAGTTAAAAAAATCAGCTGCTGTGTTTCCAAGTCTTCAGCCTTGTAGGGTGTGTTTAGGATCCTTCCACTGTGTTTAAGATCCTTTCACTGATGCTGGCTTTGCTGGCACCCCAGTTTGGGGTGGTGAAGCCCCTGTCACCTCTGATGCCACTGGAGTGGCTCTGGTACTAAAACTCACGTGTGGTGTGACGTTGCTGCTCTGGATATCCATGGAAGCTGCTCTTGGAAGGCACCCACAATTTTGTTCTCTCAGCTCCTAACTCGTGTGGCCATGGCTCCTGTGCTCTCAGCTTACGTCAGTGGGTTCGTTGCAGGCACTGTGAGTCCATGAAAATCACCTGAGGAGCAAACAAGTAGTCATCGGCTAGTGAGGGAGCTGGTGACACCCAGGAGGTACAGCCAGGAACTCGAGTTACATCTTGGCAAGATGACATCACAAACTTGCTCCTGTAGCTTTGGGAGACACCAAAACAGTAACTGGAGGTGGGCAGTGGATGAAAACCCAACAAACTGCTGGTGCCCCATGGTCCTAATGGCTCTCAAGAGTTAATTTATCTTGCAGGCTGTTGAGTTCTGTAGTGGGAAAGCTGCCTCAAAAGAGTGTTAGGCCACTGAGAGAAATGAGTTGGAGGGGCTTTTTCCATAGATTTTTTTGCCTTTCATGCAGTCCATCAGCTCTAGACTGATGCAGAGGGTGGTTCCCTGCAGCGAGGTACTGAGTGCTGAGGTCAGTGTTTTCAGAGACTCGTTCTTGGTCCTGGTGGTGAGCACGGCTGAGTTCTTGAAAGTGAAACAAAGAGGAGAAGCTGGAGTTGGACGTTAACTCGAAGTGTTAAATTGCCACTTCCTGAGAGGGTGGTGTCAGCAGGATGAGGGGAGGAGATGGGAAGGGTGTGGTGAGAGGGACAGAAAATACCTGTCAGTGTGATGTGTGTACTTGGATCCCTGTTAAAACAGGAATAAGGTTTAAGGGATTATGACATTGCTGCTTCTGTTCCCTGTAAAGAGATACCTCCATTTACCCTCTCAGAAGTGCCTTGCCTATAATGTAAGACATTCTCACTTCCCTATCACAGCCTCAGATCAGGCTGCAGCCCCAAATCCTCTCTCCTGGGCCAGAACTCAATCAGAAGTCAGTGGCATAGCTAGTTAAAATTCCTAACTAAAGGCCTACTTCCTTCAGCTTTCCTGATAAAGCTACAGGGTTAGATTTGCTTGTGCAAAGGTTTGAAGGGGAGTTGTGCTTCTGAGAGCTTCCTTGGGGTTTCAGGGCTGTGGGACAGCCCAGTGGACTGTTAGTTTTTAGATTGAGTGAAGGAGCTGAAGAGGGGTGGATGTGATTCTAGAATCAGTGTTTGGAAGCTGAATTCTGAAAACATCTGCCCACCCAGCACTGGGATGTGCTCGCTGTGTCCCTCCCTCCCTGCCGGTGTTTGAGTGAGCAGAATGTCAATATTGACTCTGTTGTGACTAGATCGTGTCAGGTTCGGCATTTCCTGCCCTTGGGCTGCTTGCATGGAGCACAAACACGCTGGGGGTGCCTGGCAGAGCAGCCAGGTGGGATCAGGAGTTAATCTCGATCAGATCTGGGTTCTGCCTGGACCTTGTTCTAGGTACCTTCCAGCACAGGTGAGGAAGCTCAGTGGGTTTTGGAGCAAATCTTGGGGGGCATCTTCCTGCATTCTGCAGAAGTGCTTGGGAATACCAGAGAGGTGGGTTTCAGTCTTGGCTGATGGTGGTTAGTAGGTGACAATTGAGTGACAGCTCCTAGGCTGCTGGAATAATCTGGAAGTGTTTGTGTTGTAACCTTTCTAACCAGCAGTCTGCCATGCCAAGTGGCATCATGTCTGCTGGATTCTGTTTGCTTACACAGACAGAGTGTGATCAGAGTGACAGTCGTGCACCTCTTCACCATGTCTGGGGTGGTAGCACCAAGAGTGGGGCTCGAGGCTGCTGTGAGTACCTGTTTACAGTGAACCTGCAGCTGCCATCAGTGATTGAAGCCAATTCCAGCAGTTCTTGTTGCAGACAGGTGACTAACTAGCCTTGTCTGTTTTGGCATAAAACCTTCCTGGCATTTAAAAAATCCCCACATGCCTCCTTATACAAATTAGATAAACAGCACTATCTTAGGGGCCCACAGATCCCTTGTTCCACACAGCTTTGGCCAGATCTGTCCTCATCTTGATTTGGAGGTGCCTTTTTTTTTTGTTTTGTTTTTTGGCAAGAGGCAGTTACATTTAACATCTTTGTCCTTTATCTCTGTGGCAAGAGGAAGTTATGGGGAGGATTTGAAAGCCTCACTCTTACTCACCATACCCACCTGCCTTGCTGCACATGCTCTTCCAGTGTGCTCTTGTAAAGGACCCAAGGATGACTGGCTTATGTAAATGGTGAGAAATAATTGAATGATTAACCTGAATTCCCACTGTCTCCCCAGGAGCGTGGAGAGGGCTGTGCTGCACAGCTCAGCCAGCTTTTTGAAGGCTCCCTAAACCAGAGGAGCTGATGAGTTTTACGCTTCCAGATTTAAAGAGCAAAATTCAGTGGCTTCAGGAGTGTTTGTGTGGCTCTTCAGGAGTAAATACCAAATAACATGAGTGGCTTGTTGGATGCATTGCTACAGTTGCACCCCTTTACCAAATATTCTATTGGTGTAGCTCAGCCTAGAAATAGGCTTCTGCAAAGTTTTATAGCTCTTCAAAATTTTATTTGATTTAAACTGTTGCTGTCCCCAAGAGCTGTGTCAAGCATCACACTCTAACAAACTGCACATTTGGTTCTTATGGCCCTAAATAGGCACCTGCTATATTTTAAAAGGTCTTGGGAGCTGTATATTTTAAAACTTTAAGCTCTACTTGGGAAGGAAGGCACTACAATATTGGAATATGGATTGCTCTAAAAAATTGAAACCCTAAGTTCCCAGAGTCTTACTTACACTATTCCCAAACTGATGAAAGTCTTGCCACCAAAATAAGTTTTTGTGACACAGCACCTGTTTCTAAGGTCAGAGGCAGAGCTAACTCAGTGAAGGCTTTCCAGCTGTGCACCTGGTGCTGGCCCTGGTTTGGGTGGGGCTGAGGCAGGTGCCTGAAGACCACTGTGTGTCTCTGTGATTCTGGAAATACTGCAGCCCAAAGTGAGGGGACAGCTAAATAGCAAAGATACCAGCTTCAGTGCTTAAGGCTTCTGAGGTCTCATTGTGTTAGCTCAACATCTGTTCTGCATGCCCACTGTTACTGCTCTTGTTTGCTGCTGAAGGGTGAGAGATCCAATGGGGAGGCTTGGCTGGGAGCTGCTCGTAGCACAAGGAGTAGCAGAGGAAGAGAAGTTTTCATGTTTGGGGCCTGGGGAAACCTGGATTACTCTTGGAAGCAAGTGGAAGTTTTTAAGTGGATCTCAGACCCACACCTGAAGCCTTACCTCTATCAGGAAGGAGTTACTTTTTCCATTAATTTTACTGAAGGCAATACAGTGCTAATATTCTTGTTTTAATATTCTCAAGGGTATTATAACATGCTACAAGCTGTCAGTAATAATTTGACTTCAGGGTTGCTGAAAATTCTCTTTGTAGGGAACTGAGCAACACGAACTTCCTGCTGGAGTTGGAAGGAGCTGAGTGAAAGCTGAGGCACAGTGGTGGGGGGGAAGGCAAGGCAAGGTGTAACAGTGGAGCAGGTCCTGGAGCCCTCATACTTTACTTTGCTCTCCAGGTTGCAGAGTTTCTCCTGTTATTGGGGGTGAGAAGTTTTCTGGTCTGTAGTGGTGCTTCAGCCACCTCGGAGTACTGAGATGTGTGGGTTGTGGGGTGATGTACCTTAGGTCCCCTGAACAGTTGGGGTTTGTTGTCATTCTCCTAAAGCCATCTTGCCTTGTGGTAGTACATGACTTGACAGGTGGAGTGGTGAATTCTGTGACTGTAAACTGCTAGGTATCCTTTGACTTTTTTTGTCCATCCCTTTAGTGCTTTTAGCTGTACATTTTTAAGGATTGGGTTATTAGTTGCTACATTTAGCACTTCTGACTGGTCTCTAGCCTTGGCAGGAGTGCTGCAGAGACTGGAGGTTCCAGCTGGGTGTGTTCTGCAGCCTGGGCCCAGGCAGGTGAGAGGCACTTGAGCAGGAGTGGTGAGAAGCTGGCTTGGCCGTCTGCTGGGCTGTTATCAGCTGGGCATGGATGCAGTTTCCTGCCTGGATTCCTGCCAGCCAGCGGCAGTGGCAATTCTAGGGAATAATAGATGGGACAGTGCACTTCAGGCACTCCACATGTCTTTAATCTTTACCTCCCCTTGCTTAAGGAGACATAGAAATATGGCTGTTGTGATTAAGTGAGAAGAGGACTTTGTCCTGGGCTGTTACAGGGCCGAAGAGTTGTCAACTGAGAATGAGTTAGTGTAGTACTTGGGAAGCAAAATAACTTGTGTAAGTGGTGGGTTGTTATTTTTCTGTTAATTGCTCTCTAGCATGAAATTTCCCCATTAGTCTTAGGACTAACACAAAACCTCATATTTTGCCAACAGTGAAATCTTCTCTACTCTTTGAAGTGTAAATATAGGCTGGTCGGTGACTCTGTGCTTATTCTTTAATGTTGGGAAAACTCAGCATTAAGCACAAGATTTGTCAGTTCTTGCAGTGTATCTTGAGAATTACTGATACCACACCTGGCATCCCCCAGAGATGTATCCTCATCTGGAAGTGACTTGAGCTTTGCTTTAATTCCTGGAAGGCAGGTGTGGTATTGGTCACCAGTCATAGTCTGTTGTGGAAGATGGGTATTCAGTTGTGCTGTTGCATTCTGCTGGAACTAAAGATGAGTAACTTGCACTGAGGAAAGAAATGGCTGCATTTGGCAGCTCCCTGGTGTTGGTGAAGCTGGGCAGTGGAATCAAACCCTGGGTCCAGAGAAGCAAAGACAATGGCCCTGGAGGGCAGCAGGCTGTTAGCACCTCCTGTGTGTCACCAAGTTCCTCAGCCAGACAGGGGGGCTTGCATTCACTTGCAGGCACGGTTTCCATCTCAGCCAGACCACAAAGGCTGAGGTAGGACTGTGCTACTCCTGCTGACAGTGCCTCTCTTATCCTCAGAGTAACTTCCCAGGGAGGTGAGTTCCACACAACAATGCTGTGCCCAGAGCAGCTACCTCATACTTCCCTTACCGAGTAAATTGTGAATTTCTAAACTGAATAGAGTTGTAGGTGATTTCCCTAGCAGTGAATTAATTTACTCATCTCAAAAGTCATATTATACTGGCTGTGAGGAACTTCTTTCTTGACAGTGTTTTTCATTAAGTGACCTAATTTTTTTTTTTCCTTCTGCAGTGACTATTTATTCAAGCTACTTCTGATTGGAGACTCCGGTGTTGGGAAATCTTGCCTTCTACTTAGGTTTGCAGTAAGTGATCATGCTTGGAAACTGTGTAAAAGAGCTACTTAGCAAGAGCTTCCCTTCAGGTAGCAGGGATGTTGTCTGACAGGCCTGGTAATACCCAAGAATAATTGTAGTATTGCAAACTCCTCCTGTCTTTTACATTTGCCTCTATCTGATGTAATTGTTTCACTAAATTGGAAAGAAATAATCAATATCAAATATCAATAATATGTCCAGCTAAGATTAATTCTAATTTTCCTGTTACTTGAGAACGAGGTACCTTAATTTAACTTCCGTCATTACACTAGTGGTAGAATGCTGAGGATGGAAGGAATTCTGGGAGTGTGCCCTTAGGAATGAGGAGTACAGACCTTGATCAGTTACTACTTGATAAGAACATTTCAAGCAGATGAAGTTTGATATCTGCAGTAAAAAGACCTACCAGTTGTTTAGTCAGAGAAGTAATGTAAATAATACTCTAGGAATAATAAGGCCTCCTGCTTTCTATAGGGAATGTTAAAATTGCTGGTGAGCTGTTCTGGCTCTAGTTTCCCTGTCAGCAAGGAAATGTAAAATGGGTTTGACAGCTCTTGGTAGAAAAAGCTGAAGTCCAGTGAACTTATCTGTGTCTGTGCCAAAGGTCGGCTTTCCGTGTCCCTGGGAGGAGAGGAGGGAAGCAGGATATGGGGCATGAACTCAGAAACTTGAGTGTGGCACTGCTGCAAGATGATGGCTTTGTTTCCACAGCCTGAGCAGTTCCTCTGGGCACCTCTGCAACGAGCCTGTTGTACCTGGAATTATTAATGTGAATTAACAATTGGTGTGTACACACAGCCTCAGTTAAAGCCATTGTGGCTGATGTTGGTAGCAGGACAAACAGTAGGAGGATGTCACCTGCTCTGCTCACAGGAGGGAGGCAGTGGGTTGGAAGTGACACCACAGCTGGAGCAGTGCTCCCAGAGTGGTCTAACCTGCTTATCTTGCAGATACTTCTGAATTAATTTTGGCTTCATGTGAATAATCCACCTTTTCCTTCTTGATAGCTAACTGAAGTTTGTGCTGTGTTATCTGATGTTTCTGCAGCTGAGTAGCCTTTTCCTTTTGAGATGTGTTTTTCCAACCAAACTGTTTTACCCTGACAGAAGGAATTAGCACAGCATACCACACCTGTGTTTTCTTGCTGCTGTAGGTTAAACTTCTTCAGGCTTTTCAGACATACCCTTTGGAGTACTGAAATGCTAAGGAAACAAATGTCATGTCATTCTTATTCTTCCTTGGATGTATTACCTAAGATGTCTTCCATTCGCAGCCCAGAGGAATCCCTTGCTTTTTGTGATACCTACTGGTTGCATAAAGCCTTTTGTGGCACATTGTGTGTGAAGTTGTACCCTTTGGGTACTTTAGGAGTAGAAACCTCCTTCATGCTGACAAGCTGACAGTCACTAGAAGGTAGCAAAGACTGACCCAGCAGTTTCTGTGTGCCTTGAGGCCTGTTGGAGACTGCAGTCAGGTCCCTGCAAGCTGCTGAGGCAGTGCCTTCCCTCCTGCATCGACACGGGCTGCAGAGCAGAGGCCTCAGCACGAGCACTCCAGCTGTAACTCTAACCTGCCTTAGCAACCAGCTGCAGCAGCAGAGCATCTGACACTCAGGTGGGACTGAGGCAGCCTCTGACTTGTTCTAGGTAGCTGCTATGTAACACAGATCAAAAGCCATCAAAGGAAAATAAAAATGTGATGTGTTTCAATAACTTGAGTGGCTGTTCTAAGTAGCCCTTCAGTCTGCTACCATGAGCAAAGACTGTTTTTTACACTGCAGCTCACAGGGACTTGACACTACAGGATTTCCAGAAAAGAGGCTTTTTTTGACTGGTTCTGATTAGTGCTTTTAAAAGCTGCAGAATTTTTGAAAAGTAAATACTTGGTGGAAATGCTTGGCCACCTCCTGGACTTTGCCATGAGAGATCAGGCTGGTTTTACAAGGAAATTAAATTAAGTACCTTTGTCTGACTGGTGCATAATGAAGTAGGTGACTGCAGAAGAGGTGCAGCTGCCTTGACTTACGTTCACTCTCTCTCCTAGGATGACACGTACACAGAAAGTTACATCAGCACGATTGGTGTGGACTTCAAAATCAGAACTATAGAACTAGATGGGAAAACAATCAAGCTTCAGATAGTAAGTAGTATTTCTCAACTCCTGTGTGCTTCAGTCTCTTGGAGCACAAGTTATATCCACAGCTACTGGTGGTCATTTTGTACTTGAAAACACTTTGAAATACAAGGGGTATTTTCCCTGTTCCAAGAGGCGAGGCAGTTTTTTGCAAGACTTACCTGTCCCTAAAGAAGGGTGCTCATTATCAAGGCCTGGAAGAGGAGATTCTGTGCTGAAGTGCTCCCATATCAAAACTGGTGTAGTTCTGCAGTATTTTGCCAGGATTTGTGTAAGTGCAGGAACACCCCACAGTTGTCCAAGATGCCTGAATTCCACAGCAGCTGTTACTACCAGGCTGCTGCACTGTCTTAAGTGCTGGAAACTGCTTTTGTTGACCTGAATGGAAAAACTGACACAAAGGCTTGTAACTGGCCTGGCTGCCTTAGCACTGGGCGATGTTTTCTGGTTATGCTTTTGGCCTTTCACTTGGAATAAACAGGGGAAGAGACTTGGCAATTCTTTAATCTTGAAGCACTCTAGAAGGGTGACTGGTGTGATGAAATCTAATATCTGTGCAAGGTCAGACAATCCTTGTCAGCCACTGCTTCCAGCTCAAGCTGAGGCTCTCAGGACTTGAAGGCAATGACTCAGGGATTCAGTGTTGTGGAGCAGAGTCCAGCTTACAGCCAGAAGCTTGAGCTTCCAGTCTCGAATGTAACTGTCCAGAGTACAGAGCAGCCTACTAGGAATGCTGTTACTGCTGAAGTCTGTCTGTGAAGTCTGTTTTTAATACACAGCCAGTGCTATTCTTGACACAGCTCCAGGGAGAGAAATGTTTGGGTGAGTCCTGCTCCTGATCTGGGTGGGAGAAGAAGTCAAGTGCCTTATGTCCTTTTTTAACTTTCCCAGCAGGAGAAGGGAATCAAGTTTGGTTGGAGTTGTTGCCTTTAAATACCTTTGCTGAAGCCTGTGTGCCAAGAAAGTTGAAGGGAGTGGTCATGTTAGAGACCTGCAGCTCTCTGACCTTATTCCTAGCAGGTTTTCAAGTCCTGGCTTGTGTTTGCTCTTCTAACCATTGAACCATGGCTTCTTCATGGGTCAAAGCTGCTTAATGTTTTCCCCAGAGAGATCTCTTGACTACACTTGGCTGAAACCAAACAAATGAGCACTTTAGAAAAGTACGTACAGAGCGTAATTCTCAGTTAAAATGTGTGATCTCCTCGAATCCTGTTTGGTGTGTACAGCTTCAGGGCCCCTGCTGTGGCTGTGGTTGCAGTGGGATGGCTGCTCTGCTGAGCTGTTTCTGGAAGCTGCTGTGAGCACTGCTGAGCCACGCTGCAGGAGCTGACCCTGTCACTTGCCTTGCAGTGGGACACGGCGGGACAGGAGCGGTTCCGGACTATCACTTCCAGTTACTATAGAGGAGCTCATGGCATCATAGTTGTGTATGATGTTACAGATCAGGTATGTGTTAAACCTGGGCCTGCAGGGTTTCTCCAGGCTGATGAGTAAATGGGGAATTTAACAGCTGGGCACCTCATAAGGGAGACAGTGACAGAGTTCTACAGGCTGTGTTAAGGCTTTTCAAGCTAAATATATGTGTTTGCCTCTGGTTTGGCAGAAATAAAACACAGAAATAAAGAGAGCAGTGGGATTTGTGGCTCCTAAGCAATTGTATCTTAGGCTTAACCTAAAACGTGGTGAACAGGTAACTAATTGTCCTGTGTGAATACCTCTCACCTTGCCTTTGGTGGCAGGAAATCTGAGTTACTGATGGAAATTGTTGAAAGATTTCTGAATGTACTTGAACTGTGGTCTGCAGTAAAGACTGGCATTTGGAACAAAAAATTGCCAGCCTGGGTGCAAGATACAACTGAGCCAGTGTTTTCTCTGAAAGGATCTCTGAAGAACTGGTGCAGTTGTTTGAAAGGCACTTGGGAAGTATAGGGTTTCCTGAATTAATAGAAAAAGAACACTTGTGTTCAGCCACTAACTGGAGTATCAGTCCAGCATTTCTGGAGTCAGAGGTTGTTCCAGCATATCTGCAACAAGGTGGCTTGCATCTAACACCTGATGCTTAGTAAATATGTGGGATGCATCCAGTTTCAGCTGTGTGCCACATCTCTTATCTCTGCTACAAGAGGAGGAAGAAGAGCCCCAGATGGTAGAAGATGTAGAATATTCAATATATGGAGCAGGGAAAAATTACAGGGGGAAGAGTGCAGGAAGGGCTGACTGTGTAGGGCTGAGAACAGGAGCTGGGTGGCCCCTGTGGCGACCAGCCTGTCCCAGGGCCGTCAGGGGAGTTGGACAGCATTGGAGAGTCCTTTCCCATGGTTGTGACTCTATCATATGGATTCATCACATGGATAAGTGCAGTGCCTCATACTCTTCCCTGGTCATGACCAAAGGGATAGTGCTGAACTTTCCCCTCCATCAAGGGCCTTGCTTACAGTTCTCTTATCTTGTAGGAGTCTTTCAATAATGTCAAGCAGTGGCTGCAGGAGATAGATCGCTATGCCAGTGAAAACGTCAACAAGTTGTTGGTGGGGAACAAGTGTGATCTGACCACAAAGAAAGTAGTAGACTATACAACAGCAAAGGTATGTTGGGACTCGTGGGTTTGCTTGGCTGAGCCCCTGCTCTGGTTTGTCATGCACAGAGGTGTCCTGGTGCCACAAATGGGGGCAGTTTAATGACCTCCTGCCCTGCAACTCATCCTTAGACTGGACATGGGGTGTGGGGTGGGATTCAGGAACTTGTGAGTTATCCAGTGATGCTCCAGGAAATGAGGTATGAACCTGCATATGAGCTTACTGTTCACTGTTTCTCAATTTGCAGGAATTTGCAGATTCTCTGGGAATTCCATTTTTGGAAACCAGTGCAAAGAATGCCACAAATGTAGAACAGTCTTTCATGACCATGGCTGCCGAGATTAAAAAACGAATGGGCCCGGGAGCGACAGCTGGTGGTGCAGAGAAGTCCAATGTTAAAATTCAGAGCACTCCAGTCAAGCAGTCTAGTGGAGGTTGCTGCTAAAACTTGCCTCCCCCCTTTTGTCTCACAACAATGAATTTGCAATCTGAACCCAAGTGAAAAAAAAAAATTTGCCTGAATTGTACTGTATGTAGCTGCACTACAACAGATTCTTACCGTCTCCACAAAGGTCAGAGATTGTAAATGGTCAATACTGACTTTTTTTATTCCCTTGACTCAAGACAGCTAACTTCATTTTCAGAACTGTTTTAAACCTTTGTGTGCTGGTTTATAAACGTGTAATCCTTGTTGCTTTTCCTGATACCAGACTGTTTCCTGTGGTTGGTTAGGATGTATTTTTGTTTTGATGTTTCTATTGGCATGTTTAGATGTCAGGTTTAGTCTTCTGAAGATGAAGTTTAGCCATTTTGTATCAAACAGCACAACAGTGTCTGTCACTTTCCATGCATAAAATTTAGTAAGATATATGTAAGATCTGATTTGCTAGTTCCTTCTTGTAGAATTATAAATGGAGAGATCACACTATCTGATTAATAGTTTCTTCATACTCTGCATATAATTTGTGGCTGCAGAATATTGTAATTTGTTGCACAATATGTAACAAAACTGAAGAAATGTTTAATAAATATTGTACTTATTGGAAGTAATATCAAACTGTATGGTGATAAATATTGTCTTAATTTGTATGGCTAAGGGGGAAATCAGGCTTGCATTGTGCACAAAACAACATATCTGTGTGTGCAGCCATGGCTCTCAGACCTTCCCTGCAACTCGCCCAGTGACTGTGGCCCCAAAGCCTGAGCTGTCATGGTGCTCAAGGCACGAGTGCTGTACCAGAAACACCCAGCCAAGGTTCATGAGGCATAATGCACTCTGAATGTACAACAGTTCCCTAACTTAGTCTTGGAACTTAATTTATTTCTCAAGGACTCTTGTAGGGAATTCCCGTCAGCTTTGCATAGCAGGGGAGAGAACAGTGTTTTCCTAACATGAATGATTTCAGCGAAACCTTGAGGAGGTATGACTTTCTACCAGTATATTATGTCTTTTCTATATACTGTTAATTCCATCCTCTTTTAATCAGTACCTTCTGACTTAGTGCAACAGCTTAGCTTCTATCCCTTCTGCAGCGAGGCAGCAGGAGGGTGACATGGGGAGAGCAAGGCCCCCACCATACTGTTGCTCAAAGTAGGCGCTTTCTCAAACAATTTGGAACTAACCAGCAGCCAAGAGGTTTTGGATGGTGTGTGATTCTTTGTACAGAGCTAATCAAATCATTAGTGCCTGATGTCTAGCTAAAAGCCACAGGAAAGCTAGCCTATAACACTTCCTATACATGTAAAATTGTTCAGCTTTATCTAAACTCAAATGTTCAGCCTATTCTGTAAATAGTCTCATGTTTGAAAGACCATGTAACATTCCCCTAGTAGTAAATACACCCTGTGATAGTAAAAATATAGCCTAGGTATGTTGTGAGGTATAAACTAAAACTGGTGCAAATATCCTCTGATTTTTTTTTTTTTGGGGGGGGGGGTGACTTTGGCTAACAGCTTTCTTCAACATAGTTGCATAAATCAACAGGCAATTGTAATACATAAAGTATTGTCATGGTTAAGTTGAACTCTTCCACTTGAGACCTTCACAATAAAGTGATGTGCTTTCTAGTAGAGATGTGCTTGTTGGTATAATTCATTATAAATATGACCTGCTGCTCCTCAGGAGCAGGAGGAGCAGTGAGTGCTGCTGAGATCAGGAAGTGAAGCAGAAGGAGGTGTGTTGAGGGTAAAACATCTTCCCTGCAGAGAGTGCACAAATGAACTTCAATGTCGAGATGCCTGCTACATACTATCCAAACCAATGTTAATATATACAGTAATAAAAGCATTGCAAAACCAGTTGGGCTACACCAGGTGTTTGGTGGTTCTTTGTTTCCCCCTCAGTGTCACCAGTGGGTCACTGGGCCGGTGCTGTTCTGTGCTGAAGCCTGGGCTTGTCAGGCTGAGCTGTGTGATGAGGGCAGAGCAGGCCTACACCTCCTGGGAAAAGGCACTGTTGTTTCTTACCTGTGAGCTGAAATATTGAATATTTTTGCCACAATGGGCCATAAAAATTTGCCCTTCAAGCCAAGGATGTAGGAGATGGGAGAATACCAACCCTCCCCCACAAACCCCAATGAATTATTTGCTGTAACTGCTTCAGTTTAACTTTGCTTTCACCTTCTACTTGTACAGAACAGAAACTTCTCTCTGTTCTGTTCATAGGAATGGGAGGAAATCATTGTGTTCTTGTGCAGAATACATCACTGCCGTTCAGGTTAAAGGTTAATTAAAGCCAAGTACCAACATTCTGTAATTTTTTTGGCCACTTACCTTATGCTGTTTCAGAGCTGCCCTTTTTCTGTTGGGGAAAGGGTGTGGAAACCCTTGATGAATGTTCTCAGCAGTGACTTAACTGCAGTAGCTGGAAGGGGGGAAGGCACAACTTCACCCCAGGAAACCAGCACAGCACTAACCCCCAGCTCCTGCCAGCAGCAGGTTACACAGAACCTGGCTCCTCCCTGCCTGAACTCCCTTGTTTATTATTTTATTTGGATTCATTATTACAGCTTTTTGTGTTTATGAATAACAAAATTGAAAGTTAAGTAGGCTCTGCTTCAGCAGGGAGTGGTAATTATAAACAGGCCTTGAGTTTGCTCCCAAGAACCAGAAGGAGTTGCTATTTCTTGGCTTCTCACACCTATTTTTGACGAGCATAAACAAACCATGAGAACAGGGCTATTAAAATCACACGGCTTTACTTAGCGAGCGCACGGCACACTATGGATTGCTCAGTTAAAAAACTTCCTGACATTTTGCTAACACAGAACAGCCCACTTCAATAAAAAAGGGAAGCTATTAAAAAAAAACAAACCAGAAAAGGCCAGCTGTACATTCCTTACACAACTCTGGACATCCCAGCACACCTGCTGTATGGAGCACCTTTCTCAAGCCATGGCACAAACCCAGGCTGCAATCAGCCCCATGGGCAACTGGACACAGATTTTGGCATCTCTGGAGAGGTGATGGAGGTGGTTTGGTGCTTGCTGCAATTCTTCTCAGCCCTCCTGAGATGGGCTAACGCAGCCTAGGTCTGACAGAGGCAGCACCTGAAATAAAGTGAGGTGTTTGGTGCTGTGCTTTGCCTGAAGTCTGACAAAGAAAGAAAGCCCCATGCTCTATTCCCCCATCTCACCAGTGCAGAGGGTACAGCTGGGTAGAGGCAGCAATTCAAAAACTACAACAAACCAAACACTACTTAAGACACTGTTTTTCTCAGAGGCTGGCACCCTTGAAACACTTGCCTCCAGTTTTCTTTGAAATTAGAAGAAATAAGCAAACCAGGTTTCCAGCCCCTATACCTGAAATCACTTGCTTCCCTTCCCCACCATTATGCTGCAACCAGAATGTTTCTGAGAAAATAAAAAACCAGAATGTATCCCCTCCTCATCTCCCCTGTGCTGTGCAAGGGATCTGGGCAGAGCAGGTGTCTGTGCTGGCCTGCTGCCATCCCCCAGTCCTGAGTGACAGGGACCTGCCTGCCCAGTCCCTGCGGAGCTGCCATCGCTCCCCTCGTGCTCTTGGGTTTCATCAGCTGGTTCACCCTGCCACGGTTAAACACGACCAGGCATCTATTTTGAGTCTCCCTGCTGCCTTCTCAGGCTTCCCAAACAGAATCAAAGGAGTAACAATGGAGGCTGATGTTTGGTGTTTGCTAATTGGAGAGTTTCTCTTGCTGTGCTTCCTCCCATCTGTGCCTCTGCCGCCAGGCTGCTTTGCCCCAGCTTACCCAGGGAGCAGCCGTGTGCTGCAGCCCCCGTGTCCTGCCCCGCGTCCCTGCCCCGCACGGGGCCCACAGCAGCCAGCAGGGACTGGTACAGGTGCTCTGCGTGGCTTTCCAGCTCCTCCGACTGTTTGGCAATCAGAGCCAGCGTGTCCTTCAGAGCTGGAAAGCAAAAATGCCTGAGTGGAGGTGACAGGACTGCGATAATTCAGTGTCTGTCAGAGCTGACAGTTCTGCTGGTCCAGGCAGACTTTGGAAGGAAATCAAGTGTTAAAAATCAATAACGTGCTGTTCATCCCATCCCCACTGTGATGCAGCATTGGCAGGGGGTGGGGACTGACCCAGGAGGCTCCAGGTTCATCATGAAGATGCAGAAGTAGGGGGTCCTAGAGAAAATCTTTGGAACTGTGCAAGAAAGTCCATTCATAACGTAGCACTTGACCTCTAAAACCCCTTTGGTGACTGCAGCTACAGCCCACCCCTTAGAAATCCCTTCTTGCAAATCACCAGAGCAACCACCCTGTGTGTGCTGTGGTGCTGGCCAGGCCGGGTCAGGGATTATGGGGGGGCAGATGCTCTGGCCAGCATCACCTGTGTCCACGAGCAGCCCCACACTAGGGCTGCTCCTCACCTGGGGAATTCGATGCCATGCAGTCCAGGAGAGCCTCTCCCCTCTCCAGCACGCTCTCAGTCAGGCTCCGGTGGTCGGCCACATCCTTCCTGAACTCCTGGCATGGCAAGGAGAAGAGCAGCGTTTCTTAGGAGGGTTTTTGAAACACACACCTGTGGCAGGTTGCCCAGGGAGCAGTTTCTGCCAAGCAGGTTCCCGGTGCTCCCAAACTTGGCTTGGCAAACGCAGAGCACCCTGGACCATTCCAGTGCTGCCTGGCATCCCTCTGCTTGCTGCCTGCAGCACAGGAGAGGGGAGGACGCAGAGCAAGGGTGACACCCACCAGGTAGCGGTGCAGCGATGCCAACACGCTGTCGGCATCCGGCGAGGGTGGCACCCAGCTGCCGGTGACATCCACCACCGTGTACAGCCAGTGGATCAGCTCCTCCAGCTGGCAGCAAAACATCTGCTCAACAAAGCATAAAAAGGGGGTCACTGATCTATTTCTGCAGCAGAGACAGCGCAGGGACATGAAGAGGTGAGCCAGTGGTGTTTTGGAAAGCATCTGTTCCCTGCCTCTCTCTGACCCTGGAACACAAACATCCCTAAGCTTGGGAAACCAAGAGTCCAATGGGAAAAAGGCAAAAAAACCTTAAACTCCTGAACAGTTCCAGCAAGAATTGAGGGCCACCATGAAATGTCTGCATGGAGAGGGGCTGGAGGCTGCTAGCACCCAGGCTGAAGGAGAGGTTGGCCTCCAGCACCTCCCAGCCCAGGAGGTATCCTCATCCTCTTCACCAGAGCCATACAGTTAATTTGCAGCTGGTTCCCCCAAGGGATTGTCTCGTTCAATTAAGTGGTTTCATTTATTTTTAAAGAGTCTCGGTAAGGGATTATTTTTGTAAGATGCTGCATGAAACCCAGGGGCCTCTGCTGGCACCAAAACCAGGCTCAAGACCTGTTCCTGTTCCTCAGGAGTTTGCCATAAAGCAGTGCTTTTGTCTGGCATCACAATTTGGCATGACAAATACAGAGAATATGCTTTTAAATCAACAGAGTTATTTCCATACCAGAGGAGGAGATGAGTTTGCAGCTATGTGCATGATAACACTCCTGTGCACACAGCCTAGCATCATTTCCAAATTCGTCCCAGCACTGGGGTGGGAAGGAGATGGAGAGGAGGGTGGGAGCACAGTGCTGGGATGAATTTAATAATCCACAAAACAACCAGGAAACCCTTAGGAGTTGCTGCAGCTCCTGCCCAGTGCAGCAGCACTGCAGGACGTGTGGGCTGGGGGACCCAGCTGACATCTCCACCCAGCCCGGCCTGTGACACTGAGCCCCAGGGAAGGCAAGATGGGCTCCTGCTCCATCAGAAGGAATTATCTGCTCTGCTGAGCCCCCCTGCATAAATTACCTCCAGCTGCCAGGCAGGACACATCATGCAGAACGGGAAGCTTAAATTAATCCTGCCATAAAGACAGGCACACTTTATGCCAGATCTTCCCGGAATAAACTTTATTTCTGGTCTCAGCCTACCTTAACACACTGGATAAGGGAGTCGCTCTGCTGGCTCTTCTTTGGATGCCCCTTGACCCGTGGTTCATCCAGGCACATCCCATCCTGTGTGTCCCTGAGAGCAGCTGGCAGATGAAGCCCGCAGGGAGGATCCCTGTGGCTCCAGCCACACGATTCTGTGCTTTCCCAGCTGGGCTTTCGGGAGCTGCGGTGCCGCCACAGCCCAGCGTAACCCTCAGCATTCCCTCTGCCATCCCCACCTCTCCCTTCTTCAAAAGGAGCCAGCCTGGATGAAAGGGGCTCCTTGCTGGTGCTCTGGTGTGGAAGGTTGTGGTGGTCATGCCCAGGCATCCTTATAGTTAAGGAAAGATTGGACAAAAACTGAGCCAGTCTTTCCAGCTCCTTCAGTCTCGGAGGCAGGGAGAGAAATTCTTCATCAGTCTCCCACTCCTTCCTCAGGGGGAGCACTCGTGTGGTGGGTAAAAACCTCCTGGTGCTTTCCACCTGCCCTGTGTAGTTTGGGCTTCCTCTGGTATCCCAGCTTCTCCCATCGGCAGCAGGGGGCCCAGGGGAGCTTGGCCCAGATGATTCCACCCTTACATCCTTAGCAAAACCTCTGGAAAGGCAAGAGGAAGAACTTCCAAATGATGCTTTGGCAATAGGTGAAGGCTCAAAGCATGAGACAGCTCCTGAGCAGGCTCTTTTTCCAGGCCTCGGGGTGGAGAATCTCTCTGCAGAGGCCACAAACTCCCAAAGTCCGTTTTCTCTGCTTCCCTGAGCCTGCCCAGCTCGGCCGTAGATGCTGGTGGACCTGGACACGCCCTCAGGGGAAGTAGAAAAGCTGTCCAGACCTATTCCCGAGTCATGGAGGAAAGGCTCCGGTATCCTTCCCAGCTTGTACCTGGGCTTCAGTGGGTAAGCATAGTCCAGCAGGTCCTCGTACTCCTTGTGGGGGTTCCAGTGAGGTGAGCTGCGATCCGGAGATGGGGGCAGTGAATCCGGAATGGCACAGGCCCAGTAATCGGCTTGGCAGGAGGAGATCTCCCGGACGCGCCCCACGGAGCCGCGGTAACCGAGCAGAGCGCCGGGGGGCTCCCGCCTCTGCAGGGCCCTGCCTTCCACCCGCCATGGGCAGCACAGGTCCTGGGCAGCCGTGCTGGCCGCAGAGGGGACAGCCGTGCTGGCCGGCACGCTGCCGCACGGCTCCTCGGAGGGGCCGCTCCCTTCTGAGGACAGGGCAGAGAGGCTCAGCGCGGAGCGGCTCCGCAGGGCGCTCTCGGGGCTGGGCGGGGATTGGGGCCGCAGGAGCTCCGCCGTGGAGGGACGCGGGGACGGAGCTCCCAGACTTTGCCTCCGACGGCCAACGTGGGCATCGCGGAGGCTGCCAGCAGGGACGCTCTCCTCGGCAGAGCTGGCAGGGCTGGACACCGGGCCCCAGCCGCCTGAATCCTTCACCTGCTCAAGGGCGGGATGGAAAAGGAAAGGGAGAGAGACATGCAGGAAATGAAACATCCGGACAAAAGGGTCCTTTGTGCTGGGATATGGAGATAAAAGCCCAACCTGGACCTGCCATGAGCTGAGGCTGGAAGTGGAACCCTGTTCCCTCTGTGGGATGGCCTGCAGCTGCTCAGAGCAGGGCTTGCTTATAAGGAAAGGCATCTCAAGGGCTTGGGAAGCTGCACGGGCCATCCAGCAGCAAGAGGCTTATCTAAAGTGCACTGTCCTGAGCAAGTTCCCAGCTCTGCACTGGCAACGTGGAATGGAAGCTACAGCTTGGGTGTTGGAGCCCAAGCCCCTCCCCACCACATATCCTAGCCTAGACAGGGCACACTCTGTCTGGGAGAGATGGAAAGCCCTTGCTGGGAGAGCCCTGACAAACTCCTGGGACCCCATCTCTCCTGGGACTTCCTAGTGGTGCAGCAACACCTGCAGCTACAAACCCTCCCACCTGCAGCTACAAACCCTCTCACCTGCTGCTCTTCTGAGGAGAGGAACCAGTGGCCAACTCGACAAGGCACAGGGCCACCATCAGCAGCTCTATCCACCAACCCTTTCCCTGAGGAGTTTGTTCTCGCTCTGGGAAATCCGGGTGCAGATGCTGAAGACACGTCTGGGTGGCAGCTGGAGCCTCCGTGGGTGACATCAGTGGCCTTGTGACCGTGTCTGCTCACTGCCACCCCCTGTGTCCCTCGCTGGCTGGGCTTGGCCTCCTCTGTCCCCAGAAGGTGGTGCAGGCCCCCTGCCGGCTCCGGGAACTCCATCTCCGTGTCTGCGCCGTCCCACCGCCCATCGCCCTCGGCCCTCCCGCGCAGGGACTCCTCAGAAGGCGATCTGCCCACACCCACGGCCATCAGCACAGAGCTCCTTCCTCGGGCTCTCTGGAACACACAGCACACAGCCACGGCATCTCAGCGTCCCCCTTGTCTCCGTGCCAGGAAACCGGGCTCGCCCAATAACAAAGGGCTGAAGCAAGATCGGGGTGAGACCCTGAAATTCATAAAGGAGCATCTTGGGGCACCAGGTGGGGCAGTGGTGAGAGCAAACCCTCCCATCTCAGCAGCATTTTCTGCTTCTGAGGGTGTGACACACAGGGAAAATCTCATTCCAGCTCTGGCCATGCCAAGAACAAACCTGGGCTTTACACCAGGCAGTGATGGCCAATGTCCCCAACACTCTGTGCCCCATGAGGTCCCTGGGCTCGAGTGAGCCATCCTTAACCAGGACATGAAGCACCTCCTGGCATGGCTGAGCCCTGAAGCTGTTGGGGTGGAAAGCTGAGTGTTTTCTAAAGATACAAACCCAAAACCTTGAAGCAGAAGCCACCCAGAAGCAAGAAGCAGCTATAAAAAGTTAGAGAGGGAGGTAGGAGGCTGTAAAACTCAAACCTGGAGCTCAGCTCTGCAGCTTCTACCTCAATTCATGGAATTAACACTTTGGGAAATTAATCAATGGAAATACTGGCACTGACTGGGCTAGAGTGAGGAGCTGCTGCAGGATAACCCGTGAGCCAAATGAAGGAGACCCAACACAGCCTCCTCCAGCAGCTCCAGCCCAAACCAAGGTGCTGGCAGCAGGGAAATGCCAGCAGAGTGGTTCTGCTGGTACTCCCTCCCCAAGCTGTGCCAGCAAAGAGGCCAGCCAAGGGAGCACCCACAGCAAACTCAACTGAAATGAAATTTAAATTATTAAAAAAAAAAAAAAAAGACGCGAGAAGGAATTCCCAAACAATATTTGGAAGTGGGAAACGAGATGATACTTGCTCTCGGAAAGGCTGGATCTCCACACAAAGAGGTGGGGTTGTTGGAAAAATGTCATCAATAAATCTGCCCTTGTTTAAAAGTGAATGTGCTGTAACCAAAAGTCGGCCTCAGGACAGCTTTATTTTTAAGATGCCATGTTAAATTCAAATTTGAACATCTTTACCTCCACCAGATTTGGTGGTTTGGGTCAGGTGTCAGCCCAGTAAAAACAACTGTAAAAACCATCAAAGTTTGACCTTAAATCTGAAAAACATGCGTTAAGCAACATAAAATAAAACTCACAGGTCATGACCCATCTGTTATTTTCCTGACTGTGTGGAGGAGAGCAAATATTCTGAAGTTAAGATCATTTGTTATCTTACAGAGGCAGCAAGCAGTGATTTACATTTCTACCGTGCCATTGGTCTTTAAAAAAAGAGCAAGTGCTGGTTCACAGGTTCATTAAATCTCCAGAAGCTAATTGGATGCTAAAGAGAAACCAGGAAACCTGCCAATACACAGGAGTGAGAGTAAATCTGCTTACTGCAGGATTTGTACGGGTATTTAAAGGGACACCAGAGCATTTTCATCACTGCATTTTCCAAAGTCTCTAATTCGGGCAGCTGATTTCAATTAACTTCAGAGGCAGCTGGATATCCAACCACACCCGGACACAGACGAGACGGGGATGCCGCACACACCCCGCACACAGAACAATCCGGCAAAAAGTCATATTTAACAACAAAAATCATATTTAACAACAAAGCGAGAACACTACTGCCGCTAAGTGCAACTCCCAGCTACGCGAGCGTCTAGCGAACGAGCTTTCTCACCATTTTCCAACAAGCCCAAAAACACTCAGAGGTCAGGTTGCCAGTGGCAGCGACGCATCCAGATTAACCCTGGCGACAGGAAGGAGCAATCCCAAATCCTCGGGCAGGACTGAGGAGGGATGCAGGACCACAGCTATAGGCACGGTGGAAACTTTCCACTGGCCTCAAAAGCACAGGAAAACAGCCCGAACAGCCAAGCCCTGCATTGTCTCACAGAAATGATACCCGTGGATTTAGATAAGAGAAGACAGTGGGGCTATTTCATTCATTTCAAAGGGAAGGTCCGCGGGGATTTCTCCTGAAAAGCGATCCCGAGCTGTTTCAGGCCCTCAGAAGGGACCCGCCGGCACCAGGGCGGCCGGACAAGGAGGGCTCTGCCCAAGGAGCGCCCCCGCCGCCCCGGGATCGCCTGCCTGACGGAATGCACTGAGCGCAGCGGATGCTGATGGAATTTCCGTCTCCCGCCAGCGCCGCTTTGCCTGGGGAGCATTTCTGGGCTTGTTTTGGGGAAAAACTCACACGGCTCTCGCCCCTCAGGCCTGCGGGATTCGGAGGGTTGCTATTTTCTGCTCCCCTCCTTGCCCGCTTTCTGCCCGCCGCTGGAAAAAAACGGCAATTAACCAAAAAGACAAGAAGTACAGGCAAAGAGGCCGAGGAGGCGCCGCGCCCGGGGGTACCGGGGTTCCAAAGGGAACGAGGCCGGGACCCCCGGGATCCCCCCCGGGCCCCCCTCACGCCGCGCCCCGGCCCTCACTCACCGAGCGCCGGCCCCGCCCCGCCCCCTCCGCGCCGGCAGCCAATGGCAGCGCCGGGTGCGTCAGCGCGCGCGCCCCCGCCGCCCGGTAGCCAATGGGAGCGGAGCTCGGAGGCAGCCCCGCCCCGCGGCCGGCGCTGACCCCGGCGCGGGAAGGCCGGGGGCGACACGCGCGACCCCGCCCCCTGAGCCGCCCTGGCCCCGCCCCTTGGCCCCGCCCCGGCCCCTCAGGGCCTGGCCCGGGTCCCGGCGGGCACCGGGAACATGAGCAGCGTCCCGGGCCGCGCTTGAGGAGCTCGTGTCAACAGCAGGGCGTTTCCTTGTGCCGCTATTGACCTTCCCGAGGCGGAGCTGTGCCCCGGCACAGCGAACCGACTGAAACGGGCCCTGCGTGGGCGGCGGCTGCCCGCGCCAGGGCCGAGGGGTCCCGGTGTCCCCCAGGCACAGCTGCGGGAGGCGGTGCCGGTGCCAGGCCTCCCCTGGGGGTGATCCCTGTGGGATGCCGGCCCTGCCCTGCCCTCCTCTCGGGGACGGCTTTCTGGGAACATCCCCAGGCCACGCTTTAAAGCTGGCTGCTCTGGGGTTTGTACCTGGCCAGACCTTCCTTGGAGGCTGGAGTGGACATACCCTGACAAGTTCCCATGTCATGCAGAAATACAAACCTTTCTCCTCATTGCTGTCCGTTGGCTGGTTCTGGTTTTTGTCCATGTCAGCTGCACCTGGAGATTATTTCTTAGCTAATGCTGTGATTTTCTAGAAGTCAAGTGTCTGATAAAGTGCTTTATGGACAATATCGTTCCCAGCTTTAGGCCAGGAAGGACCAAAGAGACATCCTGGATTTGCTCCTCAGCTTGGCAGCAGGGTGAGGGGAGCAGCACAGCTATCCCTGGCCTGTGCTTTGGTCCTGGGCACACTCCATGGCCCTGCTGCCTGCTCCAGGCCTGCCATCCCAGTGTTATGGTCCAGATTCCCAGTGGCTTGGAACTGGGTTTATTCTGCTGCACCCACTGGAGCCAGCCCCATTTACATCCAGGAGCTGGCTTATTTACATTTTGCTCCCTAGAGAAACAGTGGCAATATCTTTTCCGGGGCTGCTTCAAGAAGCGGAGCTGTAAGTCTGCAGTAGAACTCACGGTAGAACTCTCAGAAGAGCTCACAGCCAGGAAAGATCCAGGATCATCTCTGTTCCTGTGTAGTATTTCTGTGTTTGGGGTTTCTTTGATGAATGTTACAACAAATCTTCCTCCAGGCTGCACATCCCTCTGCCCCGGATGCACACTTTCTAGAGTTGCCTTTTTATTGGCGTTCACACAGGCAAAGCCCTTGTGAAAGAAAATCCCTGTGAAATGTTGTTTATTGCTCATTCTCCAGGGAGCCGCCTGCCTGCCAGTAGGGGCCGTGCTGCTCTCAGGCCTCTGGGTGGAAAGGCGGAAGCAAACACGGATGGGCCATGATTCATGCCCAGGCTGGGCTGTTTTTAGCTGGTGTAAATTCCTCGGGAGCTGCCAGGCATTGTTCTGGGAGCTGAATAGCAGCCGGCCCCGGCAGGAAAGGTCTGCGTCCTGTTCCGCCCCCATCAAACAAGTGCCAGGATGTCTGCAGAAACCTTCCCCTCCCCTTGGGCTTGGGCTGAGTGGTGTCAATAAACAAGAGGGGAATCGGCTGGTGATCTAAAGGAGAGGTTTTTTTAAGAAATTCAGGGGGACAATACCGATTTTCTTCTGCTGGCATCTGGCCGTCTTTGTTAGGAACTTTGCTGAAGGGAAACTGGCTTATTTGATCTATAATAGAGGGTCAACCCAGCCAAACTCTCACCCAAGCTCACTCAAGGCTGGCAAGGAATAACAAGGATGTTTTCTTGCTGATTTGAGACCTCAGGATTCTTTCAAACTTGGGTTTTTCCAGCAAAGACAATGCACCTGTGCAACTGTGTATGCAACAATTCATCAGTAATCTCCATATCTATGACATGAACTAGAGCTTCCTTATGATGATCAGATTTGAAAGCAGTGTACTTCTGATATATGAGAAGTTCCCTTTGTGGTGAGAACATGCATGTTTTTTGCACAGAACTGGACCCATCATGAACACCAGCTGTATGTGTTCAGAGTTTTAGTATGCTCTAACTGCAGTGACCTGCAGTTATCCAGCTCTTTGGCACATCGGTGTGTCCCTTCTTTCTGCCCTGAAGGGTTTCAAGCTACAAGGCAGACAGTCGGCTCTCTGGGATGAAACCTGAAGCCTGGAGGCGCACCATATGTTCTTGCACAGCATCTGCACCATCTTCAGCATCAAATTTCAGTCTCGCAATGCAAATGTTTGGGATGGATGAGACGTCAGCAAATGCAGGGCTTGGACCTAACCTTCCCTTCCCTGACTGATAACAGTATTAATTAGTCTTTGTACAAACTGCTCAGGACTCTGTTTGGGCTGCCTAACCCTTCTTGGAAAAGTGTTTGCAGGTGTCTGTCCTTCTCTTCTCAAGGCTTGTTAGCCTTTTCCTTTCCCCAGAGGTCAGGATTTCCACATTATGGACCATTCTCTCTG